TGGTCTAGCGTGATATTTTGAGCCCTCAAGTTATTGAAAACACGAAAAGCATGCGTTGGGTCATCACTGATGGAATAGCCTCTGACCATGGTATTGAACATGAAGAGATTTGGTTTTTGTATGTGGTTGAAAATGGAGGCCGCATATTGAATGTCATGAATGGAAGAGACAAGAAGCTTGCTCAATGTGAAAGGAACGCAGTCGAGACCAGTCTTGACCATAGAGCCATGGATTTGAGAGATTTCTGAGGTTTGTTTGCAAGATTCTAATAGAGAAATTACCTTCAGATCGTCGGGGAACATAGAGTGGTGTTTGGGCCAAAGCTCGAGTCTATGCCCCAGACGTGAGGACTTGGCTAACAATGTCATCAGCCATGCGGCACAGGCACCAGCGGGAGCGTTTGAATTGTTTTGATCTGGGGCCAGGAAATTAGGCACTATATATATTGGGTCAAAGTGGAGACCAAATTGCATAGAGGCCTTGAACCCCAACTAACTAATAAATCGAGTCTGTTTATGGCATGTTGTCGATAACATGCCATAAAAAGAAAAGTGCTGATATGTTATCGATACATTACCCATAATATTGGCACGACAACAGGCATTTTGCACACTTTATCTTGTTCTTAATTTTGGGTTTCGATTTGGATTGAAGATGTAACGTTATCGATACATTACCCATAATATTGGCACGACAACAGGCATTTTGCACACTTTATCTTGTTCTTAATTTTGGGTTTCGATTTGGATTGAAGATGTAACGTTATCGATACATTACCCATAATATTGGCACGACAACAGGCATTTTGCACACTTTATCTTGTTCTTAATTTTGGGTTTCGATTTGGATTGAAGATGGAACGTAACAACTGCTCTCCCAAAAAGTGATGCAATTCTTAATGAATAAAAATGAGATTCCTCTCTTTCTTCTTTTCACCTGTTTTGGGACCATTAAACTAAAAGTTCATGTGGTAACAAGTCAACTAAAATTTCATGTGGTAACAAGTCAACGTGACTGATCTGATGCACCATAAGTTCTTTTTCGCAAGCAAATATACAAGAGGTTATCATGGAATGGAAGCCTTTGGTCATTGGTGAAGTGACTACGAAACCATATTGAAGGCTTATAAGATAATATGCCATTCATAAGTTGGAAATGCACACATTCTTTCACTTAAATTAATTGCACTTTCAGTTGCCTACAGGATGGTATGATCATACATTGAGAATGCCAGAGATCAAAATTGCAATAATTTATATGGTAGGTATGAATACTTTCGAGGCTGACATCTCTAAACAAAGGAAGGTCATTACTGCCCAATCTCCGAAATCTTCCAGCAAAAGGGAATATATGAACATAGTCCAAAAGCAAACTACCTCTCCTTAAAGGGCATAATGCTGCTGCCGCTCATTGCACTGTTTTCCTCCTTGAAGGGTTGGGTTGATGCATCAGATAGACTCGGTAATCTTGTAACAGAACCCTTCCCTTTCCTTGCATTTGGCCCTAGCTCCTCTATCATGTATTTCCACCCATCAATTGGTCTCCTCCGGCTAAATATGTGAGTCTTGATAAAACTAGCAATCTGCGTGCCAATGTTACCAATAGTAAGAAAGGAAAGACAGGTAAGAGAGGAAGACGTTGGCAATAAGATTAAGATACATGTAATGAAAGAGTACATTCAAACTCTTTTCGGCAGAAAAACTGTAGGTGTGGCGCCATTATGCAGAAAATACAGTCTTTACCAGGCAACAAGGGGTTGAATTCACAACCAGAAATACTGGGAGACACCGTAGCATCATTCCATACATAAGAGTCAAATTTCAAAAGTTCTCTTTTACCAAGTCTGATGCACCACAGCCATGTGCAACACTTGTACACCCTTGTCTAAGATTTGATATAAATTTATACAGACAATCTGAAACTTGGGATTAATCTTACTAGTTGCGCTCTTCATTTATATCATGCTTACACTCGGAACAAACTGTATAAAGGAAGAAGGAAAATACAAGTCTGTTTGGGTGTATTTACACACCTGAAATTTATTGTACGCAATTCGACGCTCAAACTCTTGGAGAAGAATATCTTCTTCTCTCTGGGTCATCTCCCATACATTTCCATCCTTAGCCTTGGATGTCGTTTCCCAACCATCCGGTTTGTTTTTGAAGTCGGAAGCACTTGGGACTTTAGAGTTTTCCAAATCGTTGTTGGCAGAATCAAAAATGCTGCAAGTATCCCGATAGTAGACCCAACAAGTAAATTAACAAGCAGCCTTCAAAAAATTTCTATGAACATTAACACAGGCAGATAGTAAAGAATGCAGATTTAATCCAGTGACATCAAGAAAACAATCAATCAGACTCAAAGCATTAAATCATAACAAATGAAATAACTATTGGACACTGGGTATGTGTGCAAGTGAAACATCTCAAATTTGACACAGAACCCACAGGGTATTCAAATCAAATACAAGAACCAAAACCCAATCCACAAACTAAACACATTAAAAATGAATACACAAACTGCATACAAAACAAAGTAAAAATGAGAAAAATAAAAAAGAAAACAGAAGGAGAGCATACTCGGAGCAGCTATCGAGCAATCGCTCGATATCGTCCCCGCCACCGAAAGAATTCGAGTCGGCCAACTTAGCCTCCTCTTGCTTCTCAATCTCCTTCATCCAAAGGCCAGCATGGATCCTCTGTTTCTTGACCCTATAGTCCTTCTTAATACTATCCAAGCTATAAAGCGACGACCCATTCTCACTTTGCTGTTGTTGCTTCTGCGGATTTTCTTCTTTGGGTTTTCTTCTCTCGTTCCAATTCTCATTCATGTCCTCCACGAACGCCTTGGTCTCCAGGTCTGCGTCTGACGGAAGCACTACGCTCGACTCTGAAGACGAGAAATTGACGTCGGTCTCCCATGGAGCTCTGCTACTACTTCCTGAGAGGTCGGGCGGGAGCCAGGCGGTCTCCCAGGCGTCGTTCCAGTCGTCGTGGCCTTTCTTTGAGTTGGAGGAGAAGGGTCTGAAATTGGTGCTGGATATGAAATGGGTTTTGGTGATTGTGGACGAGAGTCTCCGCAACTCGGTCTTTGTTGCTGTGCGTTTAAGGGCCTGCATAGCTTTTGGAGCCAGCGAAGAAAATAAGAGAAAAACGAAGAAATGAAAGCTTAAACCCTTGTATTGTTGTGAGAAAAGCAGACACGGAGACGAAGAACACCGCACAGACCGAAGGAGAGCCCAAAATGCTCAATGGACTTGAATTCTTCGTATTGGGCCATATCAAATTAAATTTTGAGGAATTCTATGGACAAGCAAGGCTAATCTCTGGACACCCAACCATCCAATTATTTTTTCACAATTAGCCTGGGAAATATGATGTCTTTTTCATGCTGAACTTATTTCAGTTTCATTTTTATTTGTTTCGCTCCAACAAATAACTCATGGCTGGTGGGCCCCCGTGCCCCTCAAACTATAAACTTTGCGTAAGTCAGGGGATGGGCCACTGGAAGCCCACTGGGTTCTGAGTTTTGTATCCAATCATGAGGGCCAAATCCAAATTTTAAAATTATAGCCCCAAAAACCTTCTCCAACCATGTACAGGGAGGGGTGATAATTTAGGTCCGACTGAAATTTTGGACAGAATTTGGCCCAACTTTTCAGTCCGGGAGGTATTTCTGTGGGCCCCATGTTGAAGCCAACTTGCGCAACACGTGAAGAAATGGCAAGACAAAGCCAACTTGCGCAACACGTGAAGGAATGGTAGGACAAAGCCAACTTGCTAGACTCGTCGAAGGCTCACATCAAAGGGACGTTGGAATCCAACGGCTCCCCTTGAAAACCAATGATGCATCTTTTTTTTTTTATCTTTTTTTTTTTTTTATCTTTTTGTTTAATCTAATCTTTTGGAGCCTTTTAAAGCTGGCCACGTTCAAGCAATGGGAACCAACTTTTTGTGATTTTTCAAGCTTTCTCAAATAATATAAACGGCTCATATTTTTGTTCAACTTGATTTTAAAGAGAAAAAGAAGATCCAATGATCGAAATTAAAATCAAATGGTTAAAATAATATTTTTAATTTATCTAAAGGAGATCCCATTCTCAAACTCTACAAATGGCATTCTCATTTTAATTTTAACTGAAAAAGAAATGTTATGTTTACGGAATTTCAATAATTTTAGATTAAAATGTTTAAAAAATTAAATCACGAATGTTGAAACAAAAATAATGTTAAGAAAAATTAACGACAAAAAAAATTTAGGGGTAAATCATTCTTAAACAATTTAATAAAGTTGCAAACTCAAATTATGAGTCTGCAAGGTTGGGGAAAAAAAAAAATTAAGTCCTGAAAATGCATGAATGGTTGTAGTTTGAAGGGTGGAAATTTGAGTATAACCCCAACATGGTTGGAGATAGCCTTATGGTTATGAATATTGCATATGTATAGGACTTGAAAACATCAAGACTTCTATAGTGATGGCTTTATATATGACCCTTAAGTGAGGCCCTATATCTTAATCGTTGGATCAAATTGGTTAGTTGTTAAATCAAATTAGTTAGTCTGATCCAACGGTTAAGAAATAAGACATCATTATAGACAAGCATGCACAGCCATGGAGCAAATTAATGCCCAAGTCAATCCCAATCCAAGGGACATCTTAAATCAATAATATCAATGGGGACTTTTTCTGATATTGAATTTAGAATACAAATTCAAATAAAAATCGAATTTGATTATTGGTGCAGATTAACGATGTTGACAATACAAGCATTTCCTCCCATTTCTGGTATTATTGAAGATGTGGAAACACCTCGCCCCCAAGAAGAAACTGTGGATTTGATTGGTTGTGATGAGTATCGTTCGCTCCTTATTAAGATTTTTTTAACAGTGGAAATTCAAGAGAGAGAAATAGACTGGAAAACGGGGTTGATCGCCATCAAATTGCAAGTTGCAAATAATTAAGGTGGTAAGTTGAGTCTAACGCAAGGAAGAAATAAAAAAAGTGGTGGGGGCAAAGGTATTTCGAGATTACATATCTATTGGTCAAAACAGTGAGTCCGTCTCTTTTATATCTAAGTTTGAATTTTTCTATTAGAATTATTCAGAGCATTGCTTGTATTAAAATTTAAGAAAAAAAACAAATGTATGTCTCAGGAAGCTTCCTACCACATCCCACATCGATGGATCCCACACCTCAACTCACCTCTCTATTTAGTCGTATCTTTAAATTGAATTAACAAAGTCGTACACGTACTTTGGTAATGGTCCTCTCCACTTATATTTGTGTGGGGGAAGATTTAGAATCTGTTCCAAATAAACCCTCAGCCAACCACTGCTCAGTCAATGACTTGTATAATGGGTATTATATTTGTGTGTCCTTGTTTATTCATTAATTTTGTGTGATAATGGCATGCTTCACCCATCATCCGCATCTCTGTCATACATTATTGTGCATACAATACAATGATGCTTTACTTTGATACAAATGTCTTTTTTAAGACCTAAATAATGGTGTACGACTTTATCGTAATATAAAGGAAAACTATGAAATGGAAAATATGTTGATGGTTCTTTTTGACTAGACACTAGCATCGCGTTGCCTCGTTTTGTTCGTTATATTTTTTTATGCTTTTTCTTGAGCTCGTGATTTACATGATTAATATTTTTTTCTCGATACTAAAAAAACTAGAAACTTATAGGATTCCATTATCCTTGAAAAATAATAAAACAAGAAAAGAAGTTACTTTGTGTTGCTAATTAAGTTAGCTGGACGGCCTTATTTTGACCAAGTGGCCGGCATGTACAATTGAGAGCAAAGACTGAGTCTGTGATGGTTATAGAGCTTTCATTATGTGTAGATGTAAGACGCAATAAAAGATCCATCATGATCTTTATTTTATATAACACAATTGATCAAGTATGCTTTAATTGGCCCGGCGGCAGTACGAATTGTCTATGGAGTGGAGCAGTCTACCCGATATGTCAAATAAATAATTATTGTAATAGTTAAATTATTTAAAATCATTTAAGATAAAGAAGAAAATAATAATAAATCATTATGCAAAGGTTCTTCATTTACACTCAAATTATTATTCGAATCATTTAAATAAATAAAAACATAAAGTAGTCAAAATCCAACAAAAAAAACGTTAATAATCACGTCAAGAAAATTATATTAGTCGCTTGCCTTCATAAGAAAGGCATTTTAGGACATTGACGCAAGAAGATATTAAAACAAGACTTCCACATAATGACTGACTTTATAAGTCTTTCTTGTTTATGTTTCTTATCACGTGAATCATAAGAAACCTGATGAAAATTTTGAGATCAAAACTTATGTATGAAAAACGTAGTCCAACGTGCGGTTCTAAATTCAAAATTGGAAAAAACGGGTCATTTGTTCAAAGACTTTGGAATAAAATTTGAAGAGTGCAAGTCATGCCGCCAAGTGGTGACGCTGTTGGAAGATAACGGGTACGGCACGGTGCTTGCAAATTGTCGTCAAGTCTACTCTTCTAAACCGGGTCCATTCCATTTTCCTGAGGCGCACTAATCAAAATGGTGTCAGTTTTTCAAACTGGATTTGAGTAAATAATGGGCTAATAAAAGAAATCAAATCAATCTTCTTCTTCTTTCTTTTCTTCTACTCGTTCTAGAACTAATTTCTATGACAGCAGCAGCCACACCCACATGTCATTTTCAAAATTATCTACCTATCTATCCACCCACGTAGATCTCTTTTTGTCTTTATTACTTTGTTCTTAAGCTCAGCATCTAAACAAACAGCCTAGGCCTAATTCAGGCATGTCATTGTTGGACTTTTTTAAATCTATGCATCTTAATTCTCTATACTTCCAATCTTATTGTCTGGTGACATCTTTAATAATATTTTATATTTTGGACATTTCTCAAACTATGCATTATGTGTTAGGGCATCTCTAATTCAATTCCCAAATTCTTATGTTTTCATCAAGCGAGGTTGGGTAACATTTGAGACTCCGTTTGGATAAAGGGTTTCAATGAAAGGATTTGGATTTGACATTAATGCTAACAAGAACTACCTTAAAATAACTGTATGTAATGAGTCATTTGAAATCTATTTCTTTTCATATTTTCTTTCTTGTTCAAATGTTGGCAAACATAAATTGTAATAGTCTATATACGCATTTTTACCATACAATATCATTTATAGATTTAACATCCCTCCATCCAAATGAACTTACGATTAGTGGACATTTTTTGAGTTCCCATGAAGGCTCCACTATGAGATTATCAAACTCTGAATGTAAATGATTAAGAAAATGACATTCTTAGTTTTAAATTTCAATATTATTTTTCGATATTTATTCGCCTGAAAGATAAGGAGGCATTAATTTGACTTGGATGCTAAAGAAGAATATGCAACCACACAAATATACTATTGATTAACCAAAGATCAAATCCAAATTCATTTACCTTCGAAGCCACCACACACGATATGTGATGAGTATAAAACGGGAATAACACTATAATATTATGATACTCATAATAATTCTTTCAAGTAATATGACATTATTGATCGAGAAGCTTTGCCGTTTCAACTAAGTTCTTCTCGGTACGTGACGTTCACCATAAATGCTGATATCTACTTTTCTGACCCAGTTAATATCTCTGCGGGGCCCTAAATCATGGCACCTCTGTCTTTGTCACTCCAAATGCATCCCATGGTCCATGCCCTCCCTCCTCCATGAACCATCCCCTATAATATCTTCACCCTCCATATCACATCACATCACATCACATCACATCAAACACCTCATTATTATAGTACTATTATTAAATATATCCGAGATGCATATATTTTATATGCAGTGGCCATGGCAGACAACGCACTGCCTCGTCAGTATCTCACTGTCTTATTAGTGGGCCCCACACCTCTCGCATCGAGGACGCTCCTCTCCGGCCCCACCCTCTGGGTCCCTTGGAAATAATTTGTCGCACTAGATTTGCTTTCATCTCCCGAATGGACCCTACACCCCACGGAAATAAGAGACCCCACCCCACATCTGGACCAGCCACTGTTTTGCGTACGACTCGTCGCACTCGCATCGTGTTTCACCACAACTCTCCAACCGATTTACCCATATTTTATTTCTATTTTATATTACACCTTTATGAAACGGTGTGTCGTCACTCTCAATCAGTAAAGATAGCCGTGACCCATACGCGCGAAAGAAGTGACCCGTGAGAAGGA